AGTTTGGCAGCCAGTGCGGCACCAGTCGCATGCCGGTATTGATTTTTTTTCCTCGTTGAACCTATTACGAATGCTGAGGAGTAATATTAAATTACTTGTATTTCAATCACCCATATTATCATATTCATGTAATTAAGTAATGTTTAATTGAGCCTGGCCAACGACTGGCAATCAACGCTGGGCCGAGATGGGCGCCCAGACCTGGCCCGATGTTATCATTCCAGGTTTCAACCAAGTCCGGCGCGGTCCCGGTTGAGGAACGGGTCCCGAAGTTCGGCAGGCCGGCCACCGGGCTTGGGCCAAGCTCGGCCCATTCGTTTTTTCGTACGTGGGACTGAGAGAAAAATATGATTCTTCTGACTATATTCCATCACCATCGAATTATAGTCAAAAAGTCCCCAACAATTTTTCATGGGTTACGGTAACTATGGCCGGAGAAGTAATTACTACAATGGAATGTAGTCATTGCAACTATTTTATAGTTCTCCTCATAATAGAGTTGTCGTGGTTACTTTTGAACTTTGGTTAGTTTAACTGCATTTTGATTTGCAAAAATTACGCTTTTGAAGTTACTATAATGTTATGTGCCGNTGCCTCAACTATTTTCTTATTGTAAATCGAACTTCAGATTTTTCTCTCAGTGCAGATATTACAAAACAGTCTTTTCGTTTACATAACTTTACTTACTTTACTTATGTAAACAAAAAAGGCACAATTCGGTCACTCGCTGAATGTAACATCACTGTCAAAATAGTATATTTCAGCACATGTGGGGCAATATCGTCTTTAACGTGTGTGGGGTTTACAGCATGAGCCGAAGGCGACTGATGTAACCACACACGTTAAGGACGAAATTTCCCAACAAGTACTGAACAAAATTTTATGTCACGAAGCCTGAAACCGGCTGAATTAGATACGAGACGCGAAGCGTCGAGTGTGTAATCCAGCCGGTTTCAGGCATGAGTGGCGTAAAATATTGTTCGACACATGTGAGACGGGAATTTTCACGAGTGTGAAGTGGGCGCCCGAGGCAAGCCGAGGGTCGCCAATCACACGAGCTGAAAATTCCGCCTCACTCGTATCGAAATATACTATTTTTTGTCAGTGTATAAACGTAAGGAGTTCCCTCAGACCAAATGATTGTCGTACAATAGATTATATTTTTTTAACACTGCTGCTATATACGTTCACCTCTTGCCGAAAAGTGCCTCTTCATTTACTCGTAAACGAAAAGTAAACGAAAAATCGGTCTGAATCAAGTCGGACTGAATCCCGCCGGCAATGGATTCGTTTCATGTCAAATTGACGACATTAATCAAGTTGGACTCGTACAGGTACAAACTGGAATATTGGACTGATTCAAGCCGATTTTTCGCCTTGATTCAGACCGACTTCGGTTTGATTCAGGTCGATTTTTCGGTTTGATTCAAGCCGATTTGGGGCTATGGGGCTTCCTTAATGGAGTTTTACATAAGAGGATCTGTGGGACATGATGCATGGGGGAGGGGATTTGTACTAAATTCTCGATGTACAACCCTCCCGCAGTCGACATATACTTCGTCGATGTGTTTTTCAGGGATATCCCCGAAAATAAAGGAGATGGCGAATTTTTACTGAAAAATGAGGGGCGGGGGAGTTGTGCATTGAGAATTCAGAAGCAAAAAAATTGAGATTTCCCCTTCCCCGCCCCAATTTTGTCTCTCGGTCATGACAGAAATTACCAATTATTGGGGAGCAGGACGACAAGAATTCCCCAACTTATTTGAATGTTGAATAAAAAAATTAATATTGAGCCCCAAATTATGCTGATTTGACAATTAATTGAAATTCAAGAATATATATATATATATATTTTTTTTTTATGCTTATTTTATATCGCTTCGAGTCTGATGAGACTATATGGCGATTGACCAAGACTTTAAAAATGGTTAGATCTCACCATTCTACCCGGCCAGGAATCGAACCTGGAACCTATCCGTTGTGAGGCAACGGCCTTAACCACTACGCCAGGCCACCGGGCTTAAGAATATATTTATCTGATATCATTAATTTGCATGGAATAGTTGAAATGAAATGTACAGTTTCCATTTATTTTTCCATAAAATTGAAACCTAAGTGCTTATTTTCCGCATTTGGATGTTACACGGAGAGAAATGTTCAGTAAAATTTACGGAACAATTCACTCACCGATTACGAAATCGACTCAGAAAATTTAAGTGACGGTATCGTAATTTTTCACAGGAGATTCAGATAAAAATTACGGAACGCTCCGGAAAAAATCCGTGACAGTTCCGTAAAATTTTCTACGACCACATTTCGCTCCGGAATTATGGAAAAGATACGTAATGTTTATTGAATATTTCTCTCCGTGTAGTCAATCACAGCGCCGCATTCGAATCCATGTCTTTTCAACTAGGCGACATTTCAACTAGCGACTGTTTAGCTAACACTTTTTCAACTTATCACATTTCAACTGCTCAGATTTAAATACATGCCATGGATCGTCATGGAAACGGATCGGACCCAAAGTACGTCGATACCGATCCCCCCCCCCCTTCAAATTCGAAATTGATATGTGGAATTCTTATAAAGCGGTAAAAAATGACGAACCACGCACGACAAATGCAGTGGAAGGTTGGCATAACAGCTTCAACACACGTCTCCTAGTATCCCACGTTGCAATGGGTCGATTCATTGAAGCCCTTAAGGACGAGCTGCAATGGAACTCAAATGGATGCAGACCAATGGTGGCCAGCCCCCTCCAAAAAACGACAGGCTTACAGAGATCACGCCGCGAGAATCAAGAGAATCGTTAATCGCAAAAATGCATTGGACGATATTGAAAACTATCTGCGTGGAATCACTCAATGTATCTCAATATAAAGTGGAGAACAGCCTTTGAAAAAAAATCATGGAAAATTCTTTAAAAAAAAACAACTATTAATACTAAATTATTGATCTCTTGCTATTGTTAATATAAAAACAAATTGAATCGTTGTATGACATTAATCATTAATCTATTAATCTATTAATCAGTGACTAAATTGAGTTGCATCACGTTTTCTGTTGAAAAGCAAAGAGTAAAAAAATGAAAATAAAAAAATTTCAGCTATTTCTCAAAAATATAGTAATTTCACAAAAACTAGTTGATGTTGTAGTCGAAAATTTTAGTTCAAATGTCATAGTTGAAACGTCGTAGTTAAAATTGATCAGTTGAAATGTCGCCTAGTTAAAAAGACGTGCCACCCCGCATTCGAAACTACCCAATAATTTTAATTCGGAAATTTCCTCCTACCTCTGCATTGGTTTTTCTCGAAATGCTACACTCTGATCGGCTGAAATCTGAGGGAAAAGTACCCCCAAAAATACCACTCGTGCTCCAAAATTAATGATTTACTTCCGTCAACACTCCCTGTATAGAAAATTTATTTTAAATTTCGCCGAAAAATCCCTCGTGTTATCCACTCAGAATTTTAAACCTGCGAAATTTGACATATTTTTCTGTGCAACGAAGTTATCAGGAAATAACTAGAAACGTTGGAAAACTAGTGGCACTACAACTGGAACTGGTCAAGTGTCCCGCAATCCCACTCACCCCTATTATTCTGAAAGTAATTACCATAAGGAGAGTGGCCGAGCCTCCATTCAGAAAATATCTCCAACTATATACGCCCCCGTTGAATGGGGAAAAAAATATAGAAAAGCCTCCGCAAAATATCCAATGAAACAGTAGTGCCAAAAGGGTGAGGAGTCTACGATCGATGACGTCACAACACACGGAGCAAGAGCAGTGCGATAGTGGCACAGCACGCCGGTGCTCTCTCACCTCCTCCTCTTATCCTTCAAAAGCCCACCGCCACTGTTATCCCGTCTCTCTCTCTCTCTCTCTCTCTCTCTCTCTCTCTCTCTCTCTCTCTCTCTCTCTCTCTCTCTCTCTC